TGGGAGGGGGGGGGGGGGGAGACACAGACCATTCATACTCTCACATGCACCTAACATGCAAGACACATGAACATGCAAACTCGAGACAGAAAGTCCTGGAGGCCACCTCCTTACTGTGAGGCACAGCTCTAATCACTGCTCCACCGTGCCACCCTCACACAGATTTGCCTTTGTGGTGAATCACTTTCTTTTTCCACTTACTTTATGTTGTATTTTAGAGTTGTTTAACTTGTTAAAGTGACTTTCAGACTTTGTGCTCCTAATAATCCTGATAATAATAGTAAAATAAAATAAAATGGAACAATGATTAATGTTTTAAAATGAAATTAAAGAGGTGTTCAGTCCCAGCTCACACACCTCCAACCCACAGCATGTAGCCACAGAGAAAGGTCAAAGGTCAACTGACCCAGGCTATAAAGGCCACAAAGGTTAAACTGGATACTTTACCAGAGCAGCTGGGGAGGGGTGGGGGGTCAACAAAGAGGGGGGTTATTTGTGTGACTGGAGTTAAACACACAACCTGTCTCATTCCTGTGGCTCTTCCCTCTGCTCACTGCAGACGAGAGCGAGCGGTGTTTGTCCGCGGGAGCCCGGGACAAAAAGTGTGTTTGTTCATTACCCAGCCAGTCGTTGAACTTCTTGACCTCCGACGGCAGGCCGAGCTCGGTGAAGTCACCCGTGTGGAGCAGGACGTCTCCGTAAGGCATCTGGATGCCATCTGTACGCGAGTGTGTATCAGAGACACACACGAACCTGGTGTGTCCCGCCGGCTTGGGAGTGTCGTAAGGAATGGGGTCCACCCTGAAAACACAGAGAGAACGTCAGGAAACATCTGGACTGTAAAGAGTAGGAGACTGACGCTGTGGGCAACACGTCGAGTTTGATCTGTTTACCTGTTATTGATGTTGCAAATTTGTAATTAAATTACAGACGCTCTAGATTTACAAGTTGATGAATTCAGTTAGGATTTAAAAGACATGTTTTTTATAAAAAGTTGTGACAATGTGTGACATTTTGAGTCCTTGAAGTTGGTTGAAAACATTTTACTGTGGGTATAAAAGAATTTTGCTGCAAGTTTTATTTATTTTTTATGTTTTGAACAACTCCTAATGCACGTGTTCTTCTAATCGGTTTAAAATTGTAGCAGCAAACGTGTCAAACTGACTGAACACATCCGATCATCCTGCCATCTCAGTCACCAACATCTTTTGTCAAGTGAAACGTTCCACTTGTGCTTTAATTTCGCTCTGGTTTTATGCACTGTGAATGTCATCCTTTCTGGCTCAAAATGGAAAAAGGGATTATTTTTTTTTAATCCCGCCTCTATCTGCTGTTAGGAAAATAAAAACAAGTTCAATACAGAGGCAAATCTCTAAGAAATGTTCGAGCTTTTCACACCATTTTGCAAAAGGAACAAAGCAAAAGACTGATGTGCAAAAGGAATTTAACACAACTTACTGGGCAAAAATACATAAAAACATATATATTTTTAAAAACGAGCCATTAGAAGCAGTAATCTGGCTGAATTGTGCTCACAAGAAGAATTAATTTTTGAGGTATAAGAATGGCTAAACAGACAGTGAATTAAAGCGCGTTCTTTCATGCCATTATCTAAAGAAAAAAACAGACACAAGTCTGTCTGCGGGAAAAAAAACTCTTTATGGACGTCCTTTTGTTTGAAAGAAACAGGGAAGAAAACCGTGCACTTTTTCAAACTGAAATGAAAGGAATAAAAAAACCGAGCTTGTCTGTAATTGAAGTGTGCAGTGTGCAATCCTCCAGCACTCTGCCACCAGGCCATTATTTCATTAGAAGGGATGTCACTCTGTCGGCAGAAATCAGACACATAATCAGCCCTGCAATCTCCAAGCTGACACACAAACAGAGTCAACTCGCATCTGGGGACAAGAATGACAGAAGAAGAAGCAAGAAGCACTTATAAATTTAAAGGGTTCACATTGGAAAGAGGAAAACAAATAGACGCTTGTCTACTAAAAACTGAGTTTACATGGAAAGCTTCTCATATCTGACATGTTGAGCCGAGTGCTACACAAAGATGGAGCCGACAAAATAAAAACAGGAACCTGCTGCATTTTTTAAATTAAATCAAATTAGGGTTTAAGAACATGTTAGACGGTGTACATGTTAGGATAATGATAGTGAAATGTCTCAAGTCCAGCTGTCTGCACCACACTACCTGCAGTGGATCTGATGTTCAGCGAGAAATTTAGTTTTCCATCGTGACAAAAATAAAACAAAAACAACTGAGTGACAAATTAAAAAGAAGCCAGTAGAAAGATGCTCACAACGTGGAAAGTTGTAAAAAGATTATTTGTTCTGAACAGATTGTTATTCCATTTGTGATTTTCAAAACGTTTTATTTATGGTAAATTAAAAACATTTTGTAAATCGCAACACAATCACAGCTTCAGGTGGAACAAACGTCAAATGTCATCCCGCGGCACATCATCACCACCGCTGTTACACAGCACAGCACCGGTGTAACAGTAGCACAGCTGATGATATTTGCTAACCTACAAAGCCCTCAACAACCTAGCTCCATCTTATATTACAGATCTTACTGTTTCATATTTTCCTAACAGAGCATATTGCACTCAGACTGCAGGTTTACTTGTGGTTCCTAGAGTTTCCAAAAGCAGAATGGGAGGAAGATCTTACAGTTATCAGGCTCCTCTCTTGTGGAACTAACTTCCAGTTTGTGTCCATGAGGCTGACACATTATCCAGTTTTAAGAACTGGGCTTAAAACTTTCCTTTTTGACAAATCCTATAGTTGGGGTCAGCTTGGGTTTCCTGAGCTCTCCCTTAGTTTCATGCTGCTATAGGATTAAGACTACTGGAGGTCAAATTTACCTCATTTCAGTTGATGTTGTTCTTGGTTCATATCTTAGATGTTATTACTGTTTCTCTTTTACATTTTATTGTGGGATGTAACTGGGATCCTGTGTACATAATTTTGCTCCAACACATGTACCACATGGGGTCAAATGACAAATAAAGAACCTTGAATTTCCTCCCTCTGCTGCTGTCTTTACTTGCTCTACTTGTATTTATAATTATTTCTATCTTAACATGTTTTTTTTTGTCTTTCCTCCTATACAAAGTACACCTGGACCTGCCATTGTGTATCCGTTCCTCCGTCCTGTCCTCTCAAACCCCAGCCAGTCAAAGCAGATGGCCACTCGTCCTGAGCCTGGTTCTGTTGGAGGTTTCTTCCTGTTGAAAGGGAGTTTTTCCTTTCCACTGTCTCCTTTGTGCTTGTTTAGGATAGGAGACTGTGATGAAGTGAAGATTCAACACGAACTACTGGCTTCCTACTAAATGTCTTTTTAATGTATCTGAATGTTTCTGTTCAGTGCCCTGAGAGGACTTCTGTTGTGACTCGGCACTAAATAAATAAAATGAATGGAAGTGATGAAGTAGTCCTTTTTATATGGTTGGTACCAGTTCATATACCTAAACTGGTAACATTTAGGCTCACAAGCCTGTAGCTTTGTTCATTTGTGGGTCAGACGCTGAAAAGTTTGTGGAAAATCTAAATTACTAACGCTACACAACAGGATGAAGCGAAAGCAAACTATTTTAGAAAGGCACGGTGACAAAGTCTGATTTTTGGCTTAAACTCTGAAGAGCAGCATTTGAAAAATAAATAAAAGATTCAGCCGAACACGGTGAGTGTGAGGTGCAGAGCAGCAGTGGTGCTGACGATGCAGAAATAACAAATGCTCTCATTAACATTTACTGATAACTGCATCCTTTAACTTGGACTTGATTGCAGAGGATTTCCTCTAAAGCAGCCTTTCACAGGAAACCACTGCAGCTCTAAATTTTCTGCCCTGTGACGACATTTAACACAGACCGGCCGTCATTCAGTCTCTTATCAGAGTCGGTGTTTTGCAGAATTTGTCATTTCTGCGCTCGGCGTGGAGCTCATGTGTAAACGGCAGCGTGTCGCGTCGCATCTACAATTAAAACCAAAGCTACTATGAAAACACGAATGTGCTGCTCGTGCCGTGCAGCCTGCAGTCGCTGCGAGAGCTCGTCTTTGTTCTCGCACGCTGGTGCAGAGCAGGCGTGCGCCACATACGCTGAAAAATGGAAAACTAGCCGAGAGATAATGATATTTACTACTGATTGTGCGCAGCAAATAAGACTCTGTGCTCCTATAATGCACGCACAAACACGCGCGCTCGCATCACTCGAGCGGCGCACACACTGCAGTGAAGCTGCTGATTAGATTTGGTGCTCGGTGGTGCCTGGACGCCGTGCAGCTTTAAAGGATTCAACAGTTCTCGTCATGGAGAAAGGATGAATGCCACATGGGAAGGCAAAACAGACACAAACACACTCCTGCACACACGTCCTATATATACACACACACACACACACATGCATATTAAAACAGCCAGGAGAAAGAAAACCTCCATCTCCTGCTCTTTCCTTTGAGATTTAATCCATCGGGAAAATGTAAGTAAATACCAGCAGCCCCCATCAATTAGAGCCGGCTCGGGCCAAGAAACCTTCATGATAGTAATGCATTGGTCTCCCTCACACACAGCGCTAAGAGACGGAGAGCCCCGGTCTTTTCCTGTTAACATGACTGCATAACAACCCAGAGCTCCACTGGTAATGTATACAGGAGTTCAGCACAGGCCTCTGATCTGCTGTAAACGGAGACGGTGAAAACCAAAAAGTCTTCCTCCGCTGCGGCAGCAGGTAAAAGAATATTCTCCTGTGACAGACAGCCGTGTGTTAGCATGAAGGTTTGTGTTAACATGTCCGAGACTCGGCGCGACATCCGAGGGAAGACTGCAGCGAGGGGGGGTTAATGTGCTTGGTGAGGGCAGGGGCACTCTGAGATCTGCCATGACGCTGGAGCCGAGACAGAACGAAGGACTGCGCGACCAAGAAACGCCTTTGATCCTGCAGGAAGAAAATCCTCCAGGGTGTAAATTCACCTTTAGCTGGAGCGTGACAGCAACAAAGAGCTCGTCTCGAACTCACAAAACTTTGCTCAAGCATTAGTTTAGACTTCAGACATGTTTTAACTGAGGGAACGCTCATGAAGCAGTCACTCCACTGTGATCCATGTTTCTTCTGTACGTTTTTCTGCATCTTTCTCCTTCCACGATTTTTGTGCCATTTCAACAAATCATGAATCAAAACATTCAACTCCTTCAGGAGAACAGTGAAATGACTTCTGGTGCAATTTTAGCTTTTTGAAATATTTAGCCTTTTCTGCCATTTTTCCCTCAAAGACAATGAATTAAGCTCATTTTGCATCCTTCACATCTTTAGCTCTGTTTACAACCTTTTACTGCTCCTGTCACATTTTGTTCTGCTTCAGCTTCTTTCAGCTTCCTTGTGCAAATTTAAACTTCTTCAGCTACTTTCAGCTAATTGCAGCTGTTTTTTCAGCTGTGTTTTGATCCTTTTAGATTCATTCTGCTAACTACAACAGTTCGGTGCTTCTTCTAACTTCTTTCTGCTAATTTCAGCTTGTTTCTGCTTATTTATGCAAGTTTCAGCTTTTACTGCTATGTCAGATACTGTTTAGCTGTTTTTATGCTAATTTTAGGTTTTTTTTTCCAGCAAATGCAGAAAAATGTGCTCTCCACTTTCTTGTGGTAATTTCAGCTTCTTTCTGCCTTTTAACCTAATTTTCAGCTGTTTGTTGCTAATTTCACTTGTTTTTTTTTTTTTTTTAGATAATATCACTTCCTTCAGCTTTTTCTCATAGTTTAAGCTTTTTCTGCTCTTTCAGCTACTGTTCAACTCCTT